TGCCTGCAACTCCCCCGGAACTCCCCCTATTCAATGAAACCCTCATCTGTGCATGTGCAGCCACAGTGCAGCTTTTGGTGATTATTTTTTGGCATTTAAACATAACGGCATGGGCACATCTTTAGAATGATGTACTCCAGTGGTGTAGTGAAGCACTCTGGACTTTAAATGGTTTTGGGTGGGTGGACTCTTTAGAAGGTAATATGTATTACTTTTCACTTACATCAATATATGGCAAGCCAGTCATGCTACATTTGGGGCCCTTTCCGCTGATTCTGCAGAGTGGGGCCCTGGACGTCTGCCCTAAATTCCTGCCCTGACAGCACCACTATGTTCTTCCTGAGAGTCTGACGTCAGGCTCCATCAAAGAACAGTGGTCTTTTAAAAGCTCTGTTGACATCCTTAGCCTAGTGAATAATTGTTGCCTACAGCACGTCTGTGGCTGAGAAGCAGAGCTGCTTTCGTCCTGATTAAGATGAAACACTAGTCTAAGACAGAGGGACTTGTTACAACATGATTTTCATTGGGAAGCCTGAAAACTTGTCTTGCAACACTGAACTACTTTAAAATAAATTATTTCATACGTTAAGAAAAATAAATAAAAACTTCAGGTTCAGTTTAGAGACTATCCACTAATGTCTTGGTCACCAGTCGGCACAATTGCTAGCCATCAAATTTAGGTCATAACAAGAAACAGGCCTGTGTGTGTTGAACTCAACTCACACCCATTCTTATTTGAATCTGGCATGCAATAAAATGATGTCAGGTGGACACAGGCCACAGGGTGGGTTCTGTCTTGCTAGAAGACATAACAAGAAGGCATGGTCCTGAGCCCCCGTTGTATTCTAGCCAATTTGACATAGTGCTCAGATTACCGTATTTTTTGCACCATAACACTCACTTTTTTCCTCCTAAAAAGTAAGGGGAAATGTCTGTGCGTGTTATGGAGGGAATGCCTACGGGTGGCATGCCTATGGATTTTCCTCCTCTAAAAACTACGTGCATGTTATGGTCGGGTGCATGTTATAGAGCGAAAAATACGGTAATTTCTGCATTGCAGAGCAGGAGTCAGAAGCAGGTCAGCAAAAAATCACATGGCATCAGTGAAGTTAACTCTTTATTCAAGGAAACATGGTTGACTATGGAGGCCAGCCCTAGTGAGCACAGCAACTTGTCCTGGTAGATTTTGCCCCTTTGAGGCAGTTGTGGGGATTGAAGGTCCCTGCCTTCCCACAGTTCCCTCAGTCTCCTCCTCCACCTGCTCCAGGTCCTTCCCAAGCAATCTGAGACTTCATCGCAGTGCCTGCCTTTGCTCCACCCTCTTCATCCCTCTTGGCAGACCTTAAGAGATCAGAAACTGAGGATCCAGCAGCCACCATACCAGGCATACAGGATATAATCCCAGAGTAGCAGGGTGCAGAGTAGAACAGGCAACATACCTGACAAGGTAATTGACTATCACTGCAAGAACAGACTCAAAAGAACTTCTGGATAAACAAACTGAACACCCTGAACATTCCACAGCTATAAGCTAAAGAATAATTTGCCTATGCTTTTAATTTCTTTTAAAGCCTCCCTTGCACTTAAACAACATATTTCACCTATCTGAGAATTCTTACTATTCTCAACATTCTAAGAATGTCACCTTGGTTCTCCAGTCCTCAGGTCTGCATTGAAGACCAACAGTATTCTTGAAAGGATATACTTATTAACTAACAATCATAAACCTATTGAGGTTTTAGAGATTTTATATAAAAGGTCCTTTATTTAACAAGCAATGCCTAAAGCAGTAACAAACATAAACGGATAAATACCATGATTCTTTCTTTCAGGTCTTTTGACAGATGCTTTTTAAAAAAAGTATCAAATCCTATAATTAAAGGTTTAATGCTAAACACATTTACCAGGGAGTAATCTGAATTTTGAGCTGCATGGAACTTACTTTTGAGTTACATGCATAGGACTGTGCTGCTAGTCACTATAAAAGTGCATTCTTATTTACTCATGATTTTCAAAATGTACAGTAAGTTAATGTACTTAAAAGGGCAGATAATAAATGTAATATCAGATCAGACAGAATACATGGGTGTTGTATCCTGTAATCTCATTCATACAGTTCAGCTATGAAGAGTCCTTTCTTAATTTCAGTATTTTCTCAAAGGTCAGTCAGATGATTTCACACTTAAGATGGTTGTAAATATAAATAAGATTGTTACCTATACAATACCTTTATATGCGCAAGCAGTGAAGAAGTTTATGGGCTACTTTTTAACCCAAGATAATGTTGATTGCCATGGGAATTTTGCAAAGCCTAAATGGTTTGGGGAACAGTACATTTTCAAGCGTTGATAATTCACAGTTCTATGTGATATGGTTTAACTTACTCTTCAATTGTCTGTCTCCCTCCCCCAGTGATTCATACCATAATGGCTATTGGCTACTATAAAAACAATAAAAATCTGACTGACTCCAGAAGGGTGTTGGTTAGTAAAGCCAAACGTTTTTATAATATACATAGCTGTGAGCTTAAATAAACCCTAACTCCTAATTGATTTCACTATACAGTTACAATGAATATGTTTAGCATATTTGTCAAGAGTTTCTAAACCATAAAATTTTTAAGCATGAGCTATTAATCTGTTCCAATAATTTTATTATTATTATAATAAATCATATGGATTTTAAAATAGTAGGAGCAGTACCCTTATAAATACTTCAGCTGCTGGGGACATTTGAAGAATGTAGTGTGTAGTAGAGCAAATTTTTATTAATTCACACAATTATCATGAATGCAGCTCTACCTACAATCACAGCGCCTTCTTTCTATATAACATTAATAAATAATGCAACTGCTTTGCGAAAATGTCTGTGCTTTTTTTTTCTTGCGTCATTCAGAGCAGCTCCGTTCTGCTAAGGCAAAGCCTCTTTTATACCTGATTGATTTCAAGTCCATTTAAAAGATGCTCCAGTAGAGTGCCAGCTTGGAGTGCCTTAAATGAACTAAGAGGTAAATGCCCATATCTTGGTTTGTGTACCTGGGGCTTTATTTAGGATAAAGCTGTTGATGAAGCTGGTTTTCAACACTTTCTGAATAAGTTGCCACTGGGAGGTCGAACTGCATCCCAGGAAAAACTCCATGGCACCAGCAAGAGGAATATCAACCGGGCTCCAGCCATCAGAGAGGCAGCAGCTGCAGGGAGCTTGCTTGTGCCTTCCATGTCAGAAAGAACCTGCAGTTGCCCTTGGTTTGAGGACCAGAACAGAAGCAAACTCAGTCTCCATCCAAGGTCCACTGGGAAGATGCACCTTTTGCCTTTCATAGGAACAAACAAAGCTACTTTGTACTGTCAGATCATTGGCTCATTAGCTCAATATGGTCTACACTGACTGGCAGCAGCTCTCCAGAGTTTCAGACAGCCTTACTTGGAGATGATGAACATTGGACCTGGGACCATTTGCATGCAAAGCATGTGATATGGAACTGAGCTACAGCCCTTTCAAGAAAGGGCATAATGATAAATGGAAGAACAGCTTGGCCAGAGAAGGAATAGCTGCTGAGAACTTTGCTTCCCCCCTCTCTGCTGGAAACAACACCTGGCTCTCCAACCAACCAGTTGCCCTCAGACTCCGGAAGTACAGGAGAGGCCAGAGGAACAAAAAGCACTTAATAGTTTTTTTTAATGTCCAACTCTGTTGGTAAACCACATTGGAAATCATTTCAGTGACAGGTGGGGTAGACATTCAGGGACCTTTGCTAGTTGTTTCCATCCCCCCCCCCCAGCTTTTAGCTGTCTTTCAGACACTCCCTCAAGCTAAAATTATACAATGAAAACAGGCCAAAGAATTCAAAAGTTGGTCATACACAGGCGATTATCGATGCTTGAACGCATGGTGGGAGGGGAGAAACAGTTCTTTCAAGCACAATACAAGGGGAGTGGAATGAAACGAAGCTGGTGTGCTTCACAGCTCTGTTAAACAGGACTTATTTGAAGTAAAATTTATTTTTTCTTGAAGGTAGGAAGGGGATACATTTCAGTAGTGGGGCAGAGTTAATTCTGATGCAACAGAAACAATTACCGTATCTCACCAAAAATATATCTTACATGACTATGGGAATAGTGGTCAAATGGAGTGTCGAAGGAAGCGTAATTTTTTACACGATTTAAAATTCACATTCTGAGAAACATGCTCCAGATCCCAACTCACAATATACATGAAATACAATCTCCAAATCCAAGCACAATACAATATAAAACAACTTAATATATCCATTTTATAATAACAAAAGAAATGGTGGTGGGAGACCACGACAAACTCTCTGAAAGGAAGTTGATGCCAATACAATAACTTAAATAAGAAATAATGCTTCAGTGTGACATTCATCTTTAAGTGGTGTATCATCTTCTATTTGCTGTATAAATATATCAACTTCCTCTAACAGGTTTATAATCCAGAATACTATTTTTATTTGCTTATTAAATTTGTATACCGTCCTTCATCTCAGGGCTAGATCTCAGCATAAAAATGCAAAAAATACATGATAAAAACAAGAACAAAACAAACCCATAACATCTTCTCGCACAAACACATTTAAAGGGCATATCAGTTTATAATTCAGAGCATTGTTTTATAATCTAGTAACACACAATGCAAAAGCGGTCAGGCAGGGAGAAATCCGAGAAAGAATAACAAGCAGGTGCATGGCCAGCGCAGGATTCAATTTTGTCTGTTTGCTTTGCACCGCCTGCGAACTCTCTTTTTTCTCATCCGCTACTCCGCGCCTCGTTCCACCTTTCCCTCCTCGAGGCTCACGCGCAGGCGCAATCCCGCTGCCGCCCACCGGCCTCCACCGCGTGCGCCTGCGCGCTCGGCCTCTTCGTCGGAAGGCGACGGAAGCTCGCTTCGCCTCGAAAGTCTGGTCTATATATACAGCACAGCGGCTTCTTTTATCGAAAGGGCGGGGTTGGGGGGGAGAAGGGCCGTTTCTGCGCGTGCGCTGCAAGTCCGAGGCGGGGCGGCGCGCGGCGGAGTGAGCCGGCGGCGTTCTCTGCAGTGGGTGACGTCACCCCCTCTCCCTTGCCCTGCCCGCCCGCCCCGCCTCTGCCCGGAGAAGGGGAGGGCCCGGATTCGCCGGCTGCAGGCGCCGCCATGGCTGCCATATTGGAAAGGAAGTGAGTGCAGGAGGCGGCGGCAGCGGCGGCGGCGGCCCTGGGCGGAGCAGCCCTTCCCCATTCTTCTCGGCCGCGGCGGGTCTCCTCACGGCTGCGACCCGAGAGTCTCTCCGCACCACTGCCAGAGGCAGGGGAAGGGTAGGCCGGAGGCGGCGGCGGGCGGCTGGAGACGCGGCCGCTTGATAAGGCGTTGAACGCCCGAGAGGAGGAGGAGGAGGAGACGGCTTTGGCCTAAGATGGCGGACCCGGCGGAGTGTAACATCAAAGTGATGTGCCGCTTCAGGCCTCTCAACGACTCTGAGGTGACTCGCGGCGACAAATACATCGCCAAGTTCCAGGGCGAAGACACCGTCGTCATCGCGGTGAGTGCGAGGGGGAGGCGAGGGGGATCGGCGAGGAGGGGCCGGAGCCCCCCGGCCGGGTGGTCGGAACCGGAGGTGGGGGCTCCATGACCCAGCAAACTCTGGAAAGCGCGGCGGCGGTGTGAAGCACCTCGGGTGGGGGGGGGGTGAGGAATTGGGTGGGGGGAGGGCGGAGGGAAAGCTGTTGCCGGGGCGCTTGGAGGGGAGAAACAGGCTGGGCTCACCCGGGTTGAGTGAGGGGGCGTGCGAGCCGGTGGTGGAACAGGGGCTGAGGGAGCAGAGGAGGGAAGGGCGTCGAAGTGGGGGCTCAGTGAGGACCGAGGGGCGTTTTGAGGGGTCGGGCGTTGGCTGCAGCAGCGCCCCCTCCTCTTCTGCCTCCCTCCCTGCGCCGCGCCTGTGAAATCTGTTGGCCGTGGGGTTTTGAAATGGGGGGAAGCAGTAACCTTCCTAATGTCATAATTCCAGCTGCTGAGTAAGGGAGTTGAGGCGCTCCTAGCGCTCCACACAAAAGCCGCTCCATTGATGTTGTTGTTTTGCTTCGTGTTTACCCGGGGTGCCGGCTCCATTGCATGCATAGAAAAACAGATGCTGTAAAATGCACATTGCAATAGAGAGCGGTGGTGTAGCGGTTTCTCAGCCCCCGCCCTCCATCTCAGGGGGTTTGACACCAGCCGCATAGGAAGATGTTTTTATACCAAGTCAGGCCATTGGTCCGTTTAGCTTAGTACTGCCTCAGCTGACTGGCAACGGCCCTCTGGGGCTTCAGGCAGGAGTTTCTCCCAGCCTTACCTGGAGATGCTGGGAGTTGAACTTGAGTCGGTTTGCATGCAAAGCATGTGCTCTGCCACTGAGCCTTTTCCAAAGAAATCAGCTGACAGTTATTTGTACTAAGGTTCTTTTTTTCCACCTTTGCAGTTAACAGGCTGTAAAATATTGAATAATGAACCTTGCATACACTGGGATAGTTGCCAGACTATAAAGCGGTATTAAGCAAGTAGAGTTCAAACATGTTACAGATATGACGCTGGAACTGTACTAATGGTGGCTATGATATTGTAGCAATGTCATTTCTAGTAAAACCTCAGTGCTGCTATGAAAATAGGTGTAGTTAATAGCTAGAACGCTCTCTAAGGTAAGTTTGACCTCCGAATGGAACTCGCAGATCGGAATACAGTACTTCAAAAATCACATGAATGGGCGTTTTACTGAAGGAAGAAAATTGCACTTGTTTATATTGGGAAGACAAGCTTTTTAACGTAACCGAAATAGTTGTTGATGTTTAAATACTTTGGATAGAAGTCAGCACTTTCAAAAAGTGTTTTCGTCAGAGAGAACAGTGACTTGATGAAAAAGAGTTCCATAGGTGAAACTCATGGTATCAGTTTGACAGCACGCATAACAATGTGCACAGCTTTTGTTTGTTTGTTAAGCATTTCTTCTACAAGACTGCACTTCCTTTTTCCCTCAGACAGGTACCTCTTTAAAAATCCTCTGATCTTCAGCATGATGTCACACTAAGTCTAGAGTCCCATTTTAAAACTGACTTGATAAAAGCTTTTTTGTAGTGCTGTAGATTGTTTTTGTTTCAAAGCCCCACCCATCAGACACCTGAGAAACTAGCATGCAGCAAAGCAACTAACTTGGTAAAACAAGTTATTGAACTGCAATATTAAATTTACTTTTCAAAACTTTAAAAGATGCTGGGCATTAATGTTTGTTTATCTTGATAAATTAAGCTTGGACTTAGAAAATGCTCAGCATGCTGTTGACATTAGAACAGACTAACGTGTTAGTAATTGGGTTGTGTGTGTGTGTGTATATATTTGGGTCACTAAATGGTCAACAAACTGTGTGTGGAGACACACGCATATACAGAAAGTGCGCCATTATTGGCCAATCATGTGTCTCCTTTTACAATCTAGCATTCCTATTTAGAGGGTTTAATAATATCTAACAGATTTTTCTTGTAAAATGAAAAATCTTGTAAAAAAAAAAAGATTTTAAGGCAGAGATTGAATGGCAATCTGTCATGGATACTTTGAGATTCCTGCATTGCAGGGGGATTGGACTAGATGACCCTCTGGGTCCCTTCCAATTCTATGATACTGTGATTCTAACATTGTAACAGTGTTGCCAGCAGCACCAAAATATCTGGTCAAATCCCAGATCAGTGATTGACTTCAGGCACTCAGAATCTCACTCTCTGTTGCCCATCTCTAAAACAAGAATTATGGTAATCGTCAATTTGGCTGCTGTGAAGATGACCAATATAGTCTTTAAAGCATATGGCAAGCTTCCAAGAGATTAAACAATACATTGTGTCCTCCCCAATCCTTGGGCATGGAAGAGTAATTTCACCTGCGGTGTTCTTACCCGGATGGGATTCATGATATAGCATTAAGATGATGTGTGATATGATGAGCAGCAGTTAAAATGCTGTTGATATTAGTGAACAATTAGTGTTTGAGGCCCTGCAACTAGGAATTGTGGTAGGAGTGCAGAGCCTCTGAGATGTGAGCTAGTAAGATACTGCTATACAGTGGTACCATGGGTTACATATGCTTCAGGTTACATACGCTTCAGGTTACAGACTCCGCTAACCCAGAAATATTACTTCTGGTTAAGAACTTTGCTTCAGGATGAGAACAGAAATCACGCGGCGGCGCAGCAGCAGCAGGAGGCCCCATTAGCTAAAGTGGTGCTTCAGGTTAAGAACAGTTTCAGGTTAAGAACAGACCTCTGGAATGAATTAAGTACATAACCAGAGGTACTACTGTAGTGCAAATTCATTCTTATTAGTCTGCTCTCCTATTTTTCCTTGTCTAAAATGTATTCAGCATTCTGCTGCTAAACATTTTAACTTTCCTGTGTACAGCCCTGGTTTTGTAAAAGTACTAGGATTGGTAAAGTAGGCCCCCAATGCCAGAGCTTAGTTAGGTCTCAAGAATCTGAGCAAACTACAGTTTATGGGTAGTCTTCAAAGGCAGCCCCATGTATAATACATTACAGAAGTCTAATCTGAAAGTTACTAGAGTTTTCATAACTGTGGTAAGCCAGTCTATCCAGGAGGGAATCCAGTTATTGCACCGAAAAACTGAATTAACTGCAACCAGTTTAGCCTCCCATCCTGTAGACTGAATTGGGAACATTTTATCAAAATGGCTGAGTATGAAAACAGTCTGTGTCATTATTTCTGGTAGTGTTTTAAAGCCACAATGCACATTTATTATTATTTTTAAGCAACTTAGATGGTTTTATTGTTCATTCTATCATTGAGACATTACAAGCTCCTCACAGGTAAAACCTATACAGTTTAGGCCACAGCTTTTTTCAAGGAGAGAATATATTTGACTATCATATTAAACCATAGTTTATCAGGACAGTACCTAGTCCCTTCCTGGACTTGTGCAATCTTCTCCCCACCACCCTGCAGCTGGAAGAAGGTGTGTTGAAGCTTTTGCCTTCACTTAACTGCAGATTGTCATATCCAGTGTTTCAAACAGTGGTTAACAGCCATGGGTGATTTTCAACAACCCAACTTCAAGGCATAGGGGTTATGACACAGACCTGGTTTGCATGTCACACTAAACCAAACTATGATTTTGGGTATGTGTGGGCTTCCAAATAGGAAATCATTATCACTTTGCTCTTCACTAGTTGCTATCCTGTTGTGCTGAGTTTAGTCACAACTTGGTTTCACATATTGTCTGAACCCAGGCATGGGGTCTAGCTCTTCCCAAACTAATCATGAGCTGAACCAAGGTTTGTCTTGTGGCTTAAAACTTACAGTTTGACCAGGAGAATTAAACCTTGAACCTTGGTTCATATGACAAGGTAAGATAGGCTTATTTATGTTGCACGAAACTTTGGTTTAGTTTGACATCCAGATGCAGCAACAGAATAGTAGTTTGAAATGAGTCCTACTCATAGTTAGAAATAGGGAAGCCCAAGTACATGGTAGGCCTTAGTAGGCACAACGAGATCAGGTTTGTGCGTGCAAGATGGGTTCTTATTGTCTCCCATCAACAGAAATGCATGGAGAAAAACATCACAGGATGTGCTTATGCCACAAGCTAATGCCTTCTCTCTCCTTCTGACTCACTGTCTGCGCTTCTTTACTATCTCTTCCAGCAGAGTTTCTGCCCCATCTTTGACATTTGGGTTAGCCGTAGCCGGCTGTCTTTTGCTTCCCCCATATTGTCACCTGTCCTTTTTCTTAGTGGCTTAATCCTATTGTCTGTCTTGCTTCCACAGCATTTGTTCTCCAAATGGTGAGTAGGCTGGAGTGACTGGCTAGTAGAGGAGGGAGATAGAATGGAAGTAGTAAGCTCAGCTCTGATGGGAGCAGAGTCAGATGGGAGAAACAATATACTTGCTGTTGAGCTTCAAAGTATTCAATGAGCAAGTGAACCAGGGCTAGCGTGAAATATATACTACCTGCCATGGGTGAACAGTCTATCTTCTAATTGCATATCCGTTTCTCTCAGAGATTTCACTGTCTAATACAAAACTTGAGACATGTCTTAGTCTTTTTTATCTATTTTGCCTTGGGTTTTGCATATCAAATTATGATGCACTTACATACTTGGCTAATAGTTTTCACACTGGCTTTAATGAAAGCTACCAGATGTTTATAGTATTTATCTTAGCAATGAGGGATTATTTAATGCCTTAATGGTCTTAAATAATAATTCAGGGTTTATTTGATGGACTTTGAAATTTACATCATTTGTAAACCTTACTGGACAACATGAATTAAAAGTACATTTTAAGTAGGTTTAAAAAGGCAGAATACTGTAGCATATTCCCAAAAAAATGGTTGAAACTCTTGGACAGATATTCTTACTGCTTTCTCTGGCACTTTGTTTACAAACATTTAGCCATGTTTTGCATTCAGATCAACTTCTTGACATATTAAAAGAAGGTGACTTAAATGGTCTCTTCCTGGACAGCACAAAGAAGAAAAGATTTGTAAATTTGTATACTTGGTGTTGGGGAATTCCTCTGTATTTTAAAATTTGGTGTGTTACAGCTTTGCATGATTATGAAGATGCTTTGTGGTAATACACACACATAGATGGATACAGCTGCAAAAACTCAACACGATGCTCAAATGAAAGGAAAACCAAAAGTCTGTTACCTTCTTCCTTTTCAATTTTAAGAAATAAATATGGAGCGATGGGTCAGAATGAAATCAGATCAAAAGCCATCATCAACAACAAAAATAATTAATTGGTTTGGGAAGGGAGGAGCCTGAAACAGGTCTAGGGCAGGCTTCTATTTTTAAGCATGCTTGTGTTGGGATGGGAAAACATAGGTGTTGGTTCCATATTTATATGCAGCTGTAATGCTGTAAGTTGAACTATACATGGAGATTACATTGCTTCTTATACCAGCATCTACTTTAGAGCAAAGAACAAATATACTAAGAAAACAAAATGGCATAAAGCATCTGCTCCAGCTATTATTTCGAACTAGTCAGGATTAACACTTCTATGGATCCAAATAGCACTTTTACACAAACAAGCAGCGACAAAGTCAGAACTTATTAGCATGTGATCAGATATTTGCTGACAAAAGGATTATAGTTATTTTTGGTTACATGGAATTCAATACAAAAAATAAAGGCCCAAGTGGGCTGTAGTTTACCGACACTCACATGGCTCTTTGCGTGAACTTGTCCCTTCCTTAGGTTTGGATAAAGTTGAGTACCACTTGTTTACTTACCTGGCAGGAGCCTACACATTTGGCTGGCCTTGGTATCGCAACATTGTTTTGGTTGCCATTCTCAACCATTGCAATACTGTTGACTGTATTTGTTGGGCCCTGATAGCCACAATTGCAATCAACAATCTGGGAATGACTGCAGAAAAAGAGGCAAACCAGATCTAAACACTTGTCTTGTATGTGTAGTTCAGTGAGTGTAACGGCTATGAACGTGGATGAAGGCTGCTGCAGATAGGATCTACCGGTTCGTCGTGACTATTCATTCCATCAGAACAGAGCCCTATTGCGAAGACTGTGCGTTGATCAGCGTGCACTGATCTACACACACAAAACAAATTCACGCACAGGCATCTTCCAAAACCCCCCAAAAAACCCTATGTACTCTTTTGATTATAAATCTATAAGGACCATAACTCAGTGGTAGATCTGCTGCTAGTCTTTGTAGACAGTTACTGAGCTGGATGACCAATGCTCTAATTTGGTATAAGACATCTTACTATGTTCCATATTCACAGATGTTGGCTTTCTCCAGCAATTGTAGAGTGTCCAGACACGTAAATAGCATAACTTTGTGGTGGCAGGGTTTTAACTGACTTAACAGTAGACAGTATTTGATAGTAATGCATAGTAAAACATATATTAATGGAAAGGATTTTGAATCGGCGTTGCTGTTTATAGCTGTTTCCCTTGACGTGGTTCAGTTTGTCAAAGTATTCCTCTTCTGTAACAATATAAAAATGCAAGATGTGATTCCATTTTTAACCTGTCATGGTTAAAACTTTTTTTCAGACTTAAGTTGTGAAATTCTACTTCATCCGTTTTCTCCCTTATGTTATCAAAGCCCCATTGAATTCAATGAGATTTACTTTTGAGTAGATTTAGCAGGAATTACTCTCCCCAATCTCAGTATATTGTAGTCATTTTTAGCAGGGATCGTGTGATATACCTTTGAGGCTTATTTTCAGGCCATTTATTTGCTTGAAATTCAGCCTCTAAATGTTTTGAGTGTGATCCAGCCAAATTTCAGTGCTTAATAATCTTACTGTTATGACTAAGGAGCGTTAACAGTTGCTTTTTTAAAAAAATGAAATCAGTGGGTCCTGACTTGGTTGGATTGTTCTTAATGCCACTCCCCCTTGGCAATACTTTTATTTTTATTCTTAAAAGGGATTCCCGCCTCATCAGTTAGGGAATCTATTTCCACACTTCACAGTCTTTTAGCACGGGGTACATTAATATCTCTGTTTGGTAACAAAAAAAATCACCATTCAATATTTGAACAGGATGGTATTTCAAGAATATAGCTTCATTTTTGCTGCGGCTCTTATAGGGATATGAAAGGGCACAAAGCTAAAAGTGGAGATGTAAAGATCTGGTCTCTTTAATTTCTAACTTTGATTTTTATAGTTCTATTTTTGTATATTTTTCAGTCCAAGCCTTATGCATTTGACCGCGTGTTCCAGTCACACACATCACAGGAGCAAGTATATAATGACTGTGCAAAAAAGATTGTCAAAGGTAAGAGGAGACTTCTTAATAAATGAATCGCAAATGGGGTTGTTGGGCATAATGTAATTCATCTCGTATTTCCACCTAACATGCGTTTAGGTGAGGTACTAATTAAAATACAGACAGGAAGATATTTATACAGTTCAGGTTAAAGAATGACATTGGTTCTTAAATCTCTGGCATTCTTCAGGCTCCCCCCCCCCCCCCCCCGTTCTATTTTGATTATTGTGCTGAAAATCTTGTGTACGTGGTGTGGGCTGAGGAATTGAACAGGTAGTAAGACAGATTGGCCTTCTGTCCCTATATCGGCTGAAAGTATAGGTATGAAAGATCTAAGGCTACTTTGCTACATCTGGATATATCTGCTTATGGGACTTTGATATAGGCAACACATATAATTGTAAGGTGTCTTTAGTCTTCCCAGGTGTGAACATTGTATTGTGAGGAGCAAGTATAAGTTTAGGCTTTTTACTGGTTACCTTGTTCTGGAGCTTTAGATAGGGCAATATCTGATTCCCACCATCTGCTCCTTCCTGCTACCTGTGCATTTGAGACCCTGAATTTATACAACTGCCTATTAGCTGTTGACATTGTATCTTTCTCAAGAGACAGTGGAGTGCATTTCCGGGGATGAAGTCAAACCATTGGAAAATTGCAGCGCCTGCTGTGGCTGCAGAGACCAGTATCTCGTAACTGCTGTCTACTTCGTTGTTTTTGCTGTATTAGAAGCACTGAAGTGACCTCTCTGGGACACAAGCCTGGGCAGTGTTTATGGGGGTCCAGGGCTGCATAAACAGCAAGACCCACCCCCTTTTTGGCCTTGCTGATGTGGTTCAGAGGAAAGCAGAACAATACATTTGGCACCAGCCTGGCTGCAGGAATGGTCAAAAGGAGGTGTGCAATACGCCATCCAACTGTCTTAGGGACTCCACTCTGGAGTTGTGTAGGGTTTACTCCTTAGCCTTTTCTTCTCCTAAAGATGTCCCACAAGACAGCAGGTACAGAATTTTCCTCTGGGTTTACACCTGAAGCCTTTCTCATGAATCAGTATAGTTGCAAACCTATTAGCTGTAGTTGATAGGGAATTGCATGCAGATGAATCTTTGGACTAGCCGAGATGTAGTGGAGTTGTCCAAATCTGTCCAGCATGGAAACCATAAGGCTGCCTCAGGGGAGCACCCCCTTGCCCAACAGCAAAATGTAGTGGGCTGCCGAAGGAGGGATGGAATTCTGTCCCTCTTTCAGCCTCATGTTATGGGGCTTGTTTACAAGGCTTTACCAGATGCAAGGTTACTTTATGGCATGCTGCATACTAAGTACTTGTTAGCAAAATTTGTTCAAATACTTTTGGAAGATAGTATCTGTTTCAGGGTGGTTCACATGAGTTGTGGTTATATCATTAGTATGCATTTTCTTTCACCCTAGATGTACTTGAGGGATACAATGGTACAATATTTGCTTATGGGCAAACATCATCTGGGAAAACTCACACTATGGAGGTAAGATATTGTGGTCATGCATACTTGGGACACACTTCTCTAAACATATCTAAACCCTGTTTCCATATTCAGGAAGTAAAGCCTCCAGGTGTGGGGAGAAAATCAAAGTTATCTGACAAATTCTGCTATATGTGATATATTTTAAAATGGAAGACTTTTGTACAATAAAAGCTTTTTTTAAGTTAATGCAAAAAATGTGTAGACCTAACAGAGTATAACACAGATGTCATTGTCTCATATACATACATACAAGATAACATATGTCCTAAGTACACTCCAACAATTATCCTTCCGGCATCAGGTGATTGCCTCCTTGTGCTCATTGCCATTGATAACAAATTGGCTACAATAACACGCATGGGATTTTTTCTCCCAACAAGTATTTAGAGTATTGAGCTAGTAGTCAGGGCAATAAAGTGAGAATCATTTGCTGATGAGTTTTATCATAAAAATCACTTTCTAGTTGTTAAAAGACAAGCCCTGTAGGAGAGAAGGATAGCAGCGTAACTACCTCAAAACAGTTCAAAAGGCAACACATTAAATGTGACCTGAGTCAACAGCTTAGGATAGTTCACTGCTCATTTTAGGAATTTACAAAAAGAATGATAACTGCAAATCAGTTTATTCCAATATATTGTCTGTCTCACCCAAGGTTTAGCATATTACCTTATGCATTTTTGGATGTAAGTATAACTTAACTCAATAGAACTTACTCCTGAGTAAACATACTTGGGATTGGGCTGTAAGTCCTATTGCAGTGTGTGAATTAACAGTTGTTCTCTTCTCACAATTGAAATCTTTGGAACATAATTAAATTTGTTTGGATTATTTATTTCATAAGAATATCTACTCTGCTTGATTGTAAAAAACCTCAAAGTGGTTTCATGCTTATATGTTTAGACAATTAATTAGTTAAAAAGGCGTTTCCTAAAGGCTTTCTGGTTAGTGTTCTAAAAATCTGTAACGTATGTGGTCTTTGTTTTCTCTTTCTTTCTTTCTTTTTAAATCCAGGGGAAGCTACATGATGTGGATGGAATGGGGATTATTCCAAGGATTGTGCAAGATATTTTTAATTATATTTATTCCATGGATGAGAATTTGGAGTTTCATATTAAGGTAAGTTTGTTTTTAAATTATACATATGTCAAATTCAAGACAACAGAATTCTAAGTATTCTAAGAGATACACAATTTCCATCTGGTTTGGAGATCACAAGACAGTTTAGGTTGAAAGTATGACTCTCAAATGATTTAAAGTATAATTAACCAAAGTATAATAAACCACTAAAAATATCCTAAAATATCGCGAACCATCGCTTGTTCTCTATTTAAAAGAATTGGTTTAATAAGATTGAATGGTACAGTAATTTCTATATTATGTAGTATTATGTGTCAGCACTTTCTAAATTTTATTTTCTTTCAAAATCTAGTATGGGAATAGAACATTGCAGTTTGCTAGAATAGCTCTTTCAAAGGTTATGAAAAATGAAATAGATTAGTTGGGGATCTGTGGTTAAGGCATATTGTTTGGGTATGATAGGTGGGGTACAAATAGTCATTACTTGTGGGATTAAAACAGATCATTTTCACAGATGTTTGGGCATGGTTGATCATCAACATTATAGACTTTCATAGTATTCTTTTAGATATAAATACTTAAAATTCTGCAAAGTGCCATTGTGTTGAATGGTATGTTTTCAGCTGCAAGTATGAAGCTTTGTATCTTAGTTATATTTGGGGCTGTTAGTGATCTCTTCAGACACATCACTAGACTTGTATGTTAACTGTATGATGTGTGCAAATGTTATTCAAAGATTTAATGCCTGATAGTTTACTATAGAGATATATTTGTTGAAGTTTACAGATCCTTTCTATGGTATTGGTGTACTAGTTTTCAGTTACAACAATTCTCACACTGGTTCACAAGAATAACATCAGATCTCTAAATGGATTGCATTGCCCTCCCAATGATAGATCATTAATATAAGTTGCTGTGGACTTTGATTGGGCAGTGGTTACTATCCTTCCCCCCCCCCTTTATATTTTTCAGGTGTCATATTTTGAAATTTATCTGGATAAAATAAGGGACCTTCTGGATGGTGAGTACATTTTTTTTCCTTTGAGGGAGAATAGGAGCAGTTTGAGTTGCAAGGTGTAATGAAACTTGGATCTTGCACCTGTCTTCTGAACCAAAAGTTAGAATGGGAAGCATAATCAGTTGGATTTCTGTCCCAGCTGTATGTACATAAAAACAGATTTAAGTGTGCAACGGAGGATAAAAACCAGAATAATGAAGGCACTAATTTGAGGGAGTTTTTGAGGATTAAGAAAGACTTAAGAGATGTTGTTGGGCCCACAAAGCAAATGAAACATGAAGACAAAAGGGTAGAATAATTAGAGGATATAAATTAGGGAAATAAAACTTCAGGCTGTAAACCAGAAGGAAGTTATTCTGTCCATGATTTTTGGCAGATTGCCTAGAGGTTATGTATTATTGGGATATTAGATGTATATTGTACAGTGATAAATATAGAGGACTGGCTGTGGAAGATAATGGTATAGTAAAATTAGTTTTAGTAAAAAGCAGTTTATTTTATGCCTCTTGGATGTTACATAAGTATATAGCATCTGTATTGGTTTAGTAATTCAAATTTGTGAAAAGATTGCTTGAAGGACTTTTATAGCTTACTGTTGCAACCCTTATTCAGGACACAGTTGCAAGTTTAATAATGTTTATAATGGGTCAGAACTTTTCTAACATTACAGGTGGTTTATGTCTGGTTTAAAAGGTGGTCAGCAGACAGAAGTGTTCAGAATTATAAATCTCACCCAGGGTTAATAGTTTTTAGTGCAAGGAACTATCTGTAATTATAATGATATAAATAAAATGTGTTATGTATTAAACTGTGTTAGAGTATTGATGTTGTACAAGCACACACTTGGGTAAAATTGTTTTACCATATATACATATATATAACTTTATTTTTGATGATTAACTAGAAAATAGAACTTGGTGTTGTCATAGAAAGCTCAATAATAACAGCTTAAAAGGTTGCAGTAGTGCAAAAGGCGAATTCAGAATGGAAAAGTATTAGAAAGCAGACTATGTGTAAATGACAGATTACAATGCTCTCATAAAAATCCATGATGCAATCATATTTTCAATAGGACAGTTCTGGTCACCTCATGTCAAAAACCAGTGGTGAACTTTGGGCTTTCAAATTTGAGCAATGTCCTGTGCAATACCAAAATTTGGCACCATCCCTCAACCTTCTGACTTGTGTCATTGTTGGAGCACCCCCTGTGGCGTGCTCTCAGCTCAGCGCGTACAAACCACACTCCCCTAAATCCGTGTCTGCAGAAAGGCTCATTGTGTGGAATCTATACCTCTATGGAATGTCTGCCTTGAAAGGAAAGACTAAAAACTTCCTGGCTTAGCTGGGGGAGGAGGGGAGCTAAGGAACAACAAAGTCTAGACAGTGATAAAATCCAAGGAGAATGTAAATGGATAAATGTTGTTGCATAACAGTAGAAGTTAAGAATTGCCAAATGGAGCTGGTTGGCAATAGGTTTGTTACAGATAAAAGGAATTATTACTTCATGTGACTCAATTGCCCTATGACATTATTTCCACAATATATAGTGATGACCACTTAGCTTGGTTTAAAACTGGCCTATGCAAATTCATAGGTCAATCAACAGCTGTTAATGAGGATTGCTAATTGAGACCTCCAGGTTGCAAGGAAGTGCTTGCTGAGTATCATTGCTGAGGAATAATGGGAGATGGCCGTTGTGATCATGCTGTATTTGTGAGCTTTCTGTGGTTAAATAGCAAGTTTTATTTATTTGTTCGTTCTGTAGCTTCTGACGAAGGTAACTCTCAATGCTTTTTTCCTTTCAGTCTCTAAGACCAATCTTTCTGTGCATGAGGACAAAAACAGAGTACCTTATGTGAAGGTGAGTATAAAGATTACACAAGTATGTTGGCCGCCTTTACAAATCTTGTATATGTTATTTACCTTATGTTCATGTTTTCACAGGGCTGCACTGAACGTTTTGTATGTAGTCCAGATGAAGTTATGGATACTATAGATGAAGGAAAATCAAATAGACATGTAGCAGTTACAAGTAAGTTGTTTACTTTGTAAGAATTTATTTTTTTAAAAAAAAATAAGAGCATCTCATGTTATCCTATTAACAAATTGCCAGATCTTGTTCTGGGCATATAACTCTATAAAATTGTAAGTACATACAATATCAGTGAACTGGGTATTCAGTTGGCTTCAAAATGGTTCCTTTCCCCCTTGGTGTTCTTCCTTCCGAAGTGTGTTCAGTTCTTCCAATTGCTTGGCAAGGCAGGAAATCCTGTGACTTCAGGGGAAGCTGTAACTCTTCTCTTCCTGTTGGAGCTTCACTTCCTGCCTTTGCTCAGAATGCCTACTTGAACCCCTGTCTTCAGGATCCTTTTCACATATCTTTGGCATGTGCCAATTCTAATTCTTCAATGATTTTCTCTTCTTCAGTGCCTTCATATATTAACATTTTTTTTAAAAAAATCTTTAATCCAAACTTTGAGTTTTCCTCCTCCATTTAGTGCTTATTCACTATTTTCCTCTAGACCTCTTTCCTACTCCCCCCAACCCCAGTTGTTATCGCCAACAGAAGGGAACGACTAAATGGGCCAACAGCGAATGGACAAAACCTCTGCAGGCTGTCTGTAATGTAAAGCAGCACTCAGCGACTGCGTCAGCATTGGCCGTGCCTCCACCTGTGGTAGCACTACCAGCCTCAATGGAATACTCAGAGCCCTCAAGTGACCATGGACTGTGACAAAATTCCCCAGCTGATGAGAGGGCTTTATGTTTTCATCAAGCTGCTTGGGGATGGAAGTGTACTGGCAGTGATACTCTCAAAATCCAGTCTCTTCAGCTTGCTTATAGGCTCTTTCTTTCCTGGCTGATGATTGCCATTCTATCAATAAATTAAGAGAACTTGGAAAGAGGCTTTTGAGGGGAGGGGTGCCTCTTAGCAGGGAAAGAAGGGGACTTTGACTCTATAGTACTCCTTTTGACCTGTGGCCAGCATCTCAGGTGGCAAGCCCTGTGACTAAAAAATGAGACCTTGCAAGTCAAATGTGGCACCTGGATGGAGAAAATGCTGGTGTGTGCTGGATGTGGACATACATGTTCTACAGTAAATTATCACTGGTTTAATTTTCTGTCTAGAGCAACTATTCTGCCAACAATTGTTGAAAATTCATGGTCTAAGACAGGAAAGAGCTTGGAGCACCTTTGGATACCAGCTTGGAGATAGCAGCTACCTTTCACACTTCTTCTGAAATGAAATAAGCTTAGCCCAGTTCCTTTTTCTACTGTCATAAGGATTAATCAATGTGGGTGTATAAACTGCATAATTTCATGTACTAGGCAGATCACTGCTGACTAATTCCATGTGGACATGTAGTTTGTTGCTATAGGTTTAACAATAGGCTTCTTCCCCTTTGAATATTAAGCACTTGTAATTCACAAACAGGTGAGGTTTGTTGCCAGAATGCATACTTACACAACTCAAATTTCGTTACAGACATGAATGAACATAGCTCTCGAAGCCATAGCATCTTTCTCATTAATGTAAAGCAAGAAAATACTCAAACAGAACAGAAATTGAGTGGAAAGCTTTACCTTGTAGACTTGGCAGGTAGTGAAAAGGTAATAATACATTTATATTTTGAAGCTGATTGAACTGAGTATGTAAATGAAATAAATTGTGTTCCCTGTTTCAATATTTGATCTTACCACATGTCCTAGTCTGCCACTGCTTCTGGAGTAAGGTGGTCTTTTGAATTGGATTCAGGCTAACTTAGTTCCCTTTGAAATCAACGAGACTCAAGTTCAGCTAACTTAATATTCTTCCAGCTAACATGTAAATATATTTACATCCCTTTACCAGTTTGTGAAGGCAAGGCATTTTTGCTTGACATCTGGAAGTATTGTGTTTTCCATCTATTCCTTTTACAACAGATTATTTAGAATTGTGTAATGCCTTGGTAGCTATAATAAATGAACTTCCATTATCAACCATGGAAGTTGAGGAATACAGTGATAAATCCAGAGAATCTATACCAGTGAAAATGCAGAAGGAGCAGTATTGGTGATCTATTCACATTTATATTGAACAAGAGAGTGAGTGTAATTGATTGTCATCTTGCAGTTCCTATTTCCCTCTGCAGATTGTTTAGTAGTTGAGCCCTATAGTCATAATAATTTAGCAGAGACCTTAGCAGCTGCAGCTATTTCATGTGGAGACTACATATTATATTCTTACATGGGTTCAATAGTATAAATTAAAATGTCTGCAAGAGTCTGACAATTGCTTTCACTTACAAGAATGCTGGCACTCAGGGATTTTTATTTTTTTTACAATTTCATGAAAATCCATTTATTGTCTTGAACAAATTGCACAAGATTTAAAACCTTATTTAATTCAATCTACTAACTGAGTATAATTTTTATATCATTTGGAATGCATAAAAGCTTGGCAGGGGGAGGAGGTTGAGGGGTTTCAGTGGGAAGGGGGTATGAGGAAAGTCCATTACATAGTGTGGAGGCTTCTTTGAACCAAGGCAGGGGGTTGTAAAATTTATTTGTTTAAACTTTCTTACAACTGCCTACATTATTGCAGGTTAGTAAAACTGGAGCGGAAGGTGCTGTGCTAGATGAAGCTAAGAACATCAACAAGTCTTTATCGGCTCTTGGAAATGTCATTTCTGCTTTAGCTGAAAACAGTGTAAGTGTATTTCTATTCTGAAAACATTTGATGAAATTACTCATCAGGGGATGAGCACAATACATATCTGAAGAAGTTTAGCAGATTAAGTGTTCAGTGATTTTGTAGTTGTCAAATACACAGCAGCATTTATGTGACATGGGCCACATTTGCATGTAATGCTAGGCCATGGTTTAGCACTAAGCAGAAGTGCCTGAATGAGTCTGAGCAGTGTGTCAGACTTGGACACTTCCTCCTCCCCTTTGTTCCTTGAAGAAGGCCATAAGGAGGACTTAGCAAAGTTAAGTTTCACTTTTATGGCATTTGAACCATAGATCCTAGTTTCAAAAGTTATGGTTAGTTTAGCAAGCCAGCCTTTGAACCTATGGTTTGAAGTTGGCTTGAAATGAAACCAGGGTTTGTTTTAAACCAGGACCTCTGGCCTGAATTTAAAACTAAACTAGGACCCTTTAAAAGTGAAGCTAAACTCTGATGTTCCACTTTCACAGGGCTTTGAAGAAAAGTGTGTAAGTTCAGTGTTTGACTCAAGTAGGCTCGTTCACATAGTGCCAAACCATGGTTTAGTATTACGGGCGAATCAACCATATGTATACTGTATTATCCAAAAATAGGCTATATAGAAGTTCAGGCTTTCTTGGTTAATGAACATAAAAATATTAGGTACTGCTTTAGCTTTACAAAGCAAAATGCATATGTAGAAGCTTAGTTCATAAAATAGTTCTATAAATCAAGTTAAGGCCATCTTTTTCCCCCCTTTTTTCTTTTTTGCAGAATTATGTTCCATATCGTGATAGTAAAATGACCAGAATCCTTCAAGATTCACTAGGTGGCAACTGTAGAACCACAATTGTTATTTGCTGCTCTCCATCATCTTATAATGAATCTGAAACAAAATCTACCCTGTTGTTTGGTCAAAGGTGAGTAATGAGGTTAAAACTAACTTGTAGAGCACAGCCCAAGGTGTGAACCCATGGAAACAAACTGTAGACTTCCCACAAAGTTCTAGTAAGCTGCTGTTCATAATGATTGTCCATGTGCATGCTATATACATGCACACATCAATTTATTTGTATGCTGCCTTTCCATATGCTCAAGGTGGCTTACAGTGTGAAAAAATACATAACTACAAACATAACAAAGGTAGCCATACATAATAAAACATCAAAAAGTGCACAACCAAATTGAACCATTTCCACATAAATAAAAATATCTAAAATAAAGATACAAAAAACAAACATCAGCAACCCATCCCCCACAATCCCCCACCCCAAATACAACACCCCAGTGCAAGAATCTGTTCGGCAGCCTCAGCTTTTGTAGCTGAAGTTGGGCTCTCCCTCCCAATCCAAGTGTAAAAAGCCAGCAGGTCTTCCACAGCCAATATGCTATTGAAAGCAAGTAATGCTTTGCTTAATATAAGTCACTATAGAGCTCTACAAACGGATTGATGATGTGCTTTCTGGAATATATTATTGGAGATTGATGCATTATTGCCTTGCAGAGTCATTGTTGACGTCGTTTGATTTGCTGAATTGGTGTCTGGACTCATTAATGGTCTGGATGAGTCAACAAACTGATGTTCAGATTGGGACACTTAGTGGACAGTTCCTCTGTTCATATGGGTGAAATGTATCATGTTCAAGATGGGGTTACGATCTTCTAGAAGGAGCAGATGTGCAGTTTGGGGTACTCTTGGATCCAACACTGTCTTTGCAGGCACAAGTGGCTTCAGTGGCATGGAGTGCCTTCTAATTCTGATCGTCTCTTACTCTTATATTGACAGTGATAGCATGACTTCAGTTCTCTATGCTTTGGTAACCTCCAGGTTAGACTTCTGCAGTTCATTGTTTGTGGAACTGTCCTTAAAGATGGCTTAGAAACTACAGCCAGTGCAAAAAAGGATGTCTGCTAGATTTTTAACTGAAACAAGAAGATGGGAACATATAACACTAGTTCTGGTCTGACTGCATTGGCTGCCAATTTGTTTTCAGGCACAGATCAAAATGCTGGCTTTGACCTTTAACTTAAGCCTTATATAGTTAAAGGGCACTATGTCTATATGGCCACCTCTCTGAATATGAACCTGCCTGGGCCCTGAGATATCATTTGATGCCTTCTCTGTGTGCTAACTCTAAAGCAGGTCCAGAGGGTGACTATGAAAGAGTGAGTCTTCTCTGTAGTACGGGTAAGAAATAGGCATTCTCTGTTTATCGGGCAGGAATTCCAGGGGGCCTGCTTGGTGTCAAGCCTGTCATCATTATGGTACCAGGCAAAAATGTTTTTGCTTCCCCTGGAATTTGGGCAGCACCAATGATAGTATTATTATTTAACTTTTGCTTGATTGTAAATTGCTTCAGAATGTTTTTTGTGGGAAACAATACATAACCCCAAACCTAACCTTAAGTTTATTAGCTGCAGATTAGCTTACTCTTATCTGCAGATAAGTTATAGTTGCAGATAACATTTAAGGTTAATGTTTCGTGCTGTATGACTGCCTTGTGCTTCTGTCTCTGCCTGAATCACATGCAGAATGAACTTGGTGTCTAAATGTGATGTTCTAAGGAAAGAAAGTATAGCAGCTGTATCTGAAATTGTGGGTGCGTGGAATATGGAAGATAGTTTAATTACTTAGAAAAGGTCTTTAGGCTGTAGATCAAAGTTAAAATATTCTATACAGAAAAAATTAATTACCTTGTGAGCTGACTAGTAACCCTGTATTCACTTAGCATGGCAAACATGTACTTTACCTTTATAGAGCCAAAACTATCAAGAACACAGTATGTGTCAATGTAGAACTAACTGCAGAACAATGGAAGAAAAAATATGAAAGGGAAAAGGAGAGAAACAAGACACTTCGCAACACAATACAGTGGCTTGAGAATGAGCTGAATAGATGGCGTAATGGTGAGTTATGTCACAGATCTTCACAACCCGTGTTAGCTATACATTATTATAATGTGTGGCAGTAAATTCCACTTTTGGTCACCGTACAGCAAATTAATCTAAAGTCTTGATCGCAAAGCTGGAAAAATCCCAGACCTGTGGGAACTGGAATACTGCAAGATTTTTTCCCAGCTTAGTGTTGAGGCTAAATGTTCTTGTGACAATTGATCAGTTTAAAGATCCTTTGCATTAAGGACCTTTAAGTTCTAATAACTTTGTATTTAAAAAACTGCATTATTTGTGGGGCTACTCTTGAGATTGGAACAGAAGCTGCAGCTGGGGCAGAACATGGTGACTTGGTTGCTTGTGGAGACAAAATAGTGTCAGCATATAACACTTTGGCTTGAGGGGACTGTTTTGGCTTGATTTGCACTGGCTGTCATGTCACTCTGCTACCAGGACAAGTTTAAGGTTCTGGTACTAACATATGTCTCCTGCACATTCCAAACTCCCCAGGAGCCCACTCCACAGTGTGGAGCTATTCTATGGCTGCTCCTGTTCCATAGAATAGCAATTCTGTCAAGGTACAACAGGTGTCCACTATCTGTACTTTCCGGAAACAGCCAAAGACATTTTTGTTACAATAGGCTTAATAGGTTGTTGCCATGAGTATCTATTTTGTATCGTATTAGCTTTGTTTTGAAAGTATCTGCTACTTTTTGCTGTTTTTATTGTACACTGCTTTGATACAATTAGGTAGACTAGTGTTTAATAAAATCATATATATTGATAATATCAGAGCTGCAGTATTCAACCCAGTGGACTCGTATTTTGTGTCCAAATAGCAATTTTCAATGAAATTCTCATGCTATCTGAGGTGAGCTAATGTTGACTTAGTTTGCAAAGATATTTCAAACAAGATGCATTTGGTAATTTTGTTTTAAAGGAGAGACTGTGCCTGTTGATGAGCAGTTTGACAAAGAAAAGGCCAACTTGGAAGCATTTGCAGTGGATAAGGATATTACTGTTACTAATGAAACTCCAACTGCTACTATTGGAGTGATTGGCAATTTTACTGATGCTGAAAGGAGAAAGTGTGAGGAAGAAATAGCTAAATTATACAAACAGCTAGATGACAAGGTATGTCTTTAAATTTTAATGTACTTTAAACGAAGAACTGCCTTACTTTATCAGAAATCAAATTGTTTCATTAATGTAATTGAGTAGATAGCTATTTCTCTTTGTTAAGAGTAAATTGCCAGCCTAAGATCTGAAATTGATAGTGCAATCCTGTATATGTCTACTTAGCAATAAGCCCTATTGAGTTCAGAGGGATTTACTGCCAGGCACTGTATTTAGGATTGTAACCTAACTGTATTTTAGCACTTCGTTGCTAAGCATGATCATGTAGAGAGATCATGAAAATCATGCTAAGGATGCAATAAGTTGGCATAAAAAATTACAGTGGCTAAAAGTTAATGAATTGAAAATAAATTTGTCCTCCTTATGGAAAAGTTTTTACCCTCCCTTATGGAAAAGTTTTATTGGGTATTTTGGCCATACCCAATCTTTTGGGCACATACAGTGGCATTCTTGACTCCTGTGGTTTTCTGTTTGTTACAGAACAAAACTTCTATGCCATATCAGTCAGTTCAGTTTGAAAAGGGGATTTCCATTTGGCATGAGGAGATGCCCAAAGACCTCTTGTGCAGAATTATTCACAAAGTGTTTTGGATCTTGACTGTTCTCTCTAAATTTTGTGGCGGGATCAACCCATAACAATCTGTGACACTTTTAATGAATTCTAGAGTGAGCACATTTTTCTTTCTTTAAAAATTCAGGATGAAGAAATTAATCAGCAGAGCCAATTGGTAGAAAAGCTAAAAACACAGATGTTGGATCAGGAAGAGGTGAGTTTTGATCTTCTAGTTAATTCTGCATGTTGCAAGAATACAGAGCAAAAAAAGTGCAATGTATATAAGTGACACTGAATTAATAGTATATAAGTTAGCATTGCTCTTAGGAATAGTACTGTTACTGAAGTACAAAAAAGTAACTGCTACACTTCAGAAATCAGGCTGAGATCAGGCTACTGATTTCAAAAGGGCTTCTGTTATTCTGTATAGTGTCTTCAGGGACACCACTGTCAATCACAAAATTGCCTTCCAGGATTTAAAGGAGTAGTCAGTGTCCTTATTGAATTTGGTGTACGCTGCTTAGTTACAGCCTAAAGGAAATGTGGTGTTTCTTACCATATTTATGTGCTTCCTGATCACCAAAGCTTTCTATGTGGCCTGCAATAACAGTTAAGAACACTTATGCAAAAATAAAAAGCACTAAATAGTCACAGCTGTTAATACTCAAGAAATATTATATCCAAATATAATATCCAATAAATCATTAAGAGATTGAGAAGTCTGGGAAAATCTAAAGCTCATCACCTGATGCTGGAAAGACCACACAGGAAAGATGGCCGGGGGTCTAATGATGAAAATGCCGTTCTCTATTTGGTGCAAGGTACCTTTAGAAGGGCCTCAGAGGTTACAGGTATGTATAGGTGGGGCTCAACAACATTATAAATATCAGAAGCAACTAATTACATAAAGATTTCTACATGAGCAAATTGTGATGGTTTTTACAGTCTGGGAAACAACTGCTTTAAAAAACACAACTAACATAACCTTTGTGTGTAGCTTCTAGCATCTACCAGGCGGGACCAAGACAATATGCAAGCTGAACTAAATCGGCTTCAAGCTGAAAACGATGCCTCTAAGGAGGAGGTAAAAGAAGTTCTCCAAGCCCTTGAGGAGCTGGCTGTCAACTATGATCAGAAGTCTCAGGAAGTGGAAGACAAGGCAAAAGAATATGAGATGCTTAGTGAGGAGCTGAATCAGAAATCGGTAAGAAACCACCTTTTTTTGGTTGCCAGTCCAAATGGTTTTACAACTATTAATGAACCGAAACTCTTTTCTCATTGGGTTTTAAAAAAGATAATTACATGCCATATGCTCAATGTTCAAGTTACAATAAAGGATATTCTGACTAAACATCAGGAAGAACTTTCTGACAGTAAAAGCTGCTACACAATGGCTCCCATGACAGGTAGTGGACTCTCCTGCCTTTTTAAACAAAGGTTTGGATGCCCATCTGCCATGGATGATCTAGTTGAGGTTCCTGCATTACAGGGGGTTAGACTATATGACCTTTTGGATTCCTTCCAACTGTACAATTGTAGGATTCTATATTCATACAGCATTATATTCTGAAAAGATTTTAACACAATTTGATTAAAAAATTGAAGGTTAGCAACTGTAAACAAACATGTACATTTCAAGGTTTGTCATCCTGTCTTGAGATCCCCATGTGGTTGGCTCAATGTAATCATGTGTAACACAGTGGACTTGCTCTGTCTTGTCTGATTTCCGTTCCCTAGCTGTGCAACACACCATAGTATCTGCATCTACCTAGGGCAGCATCAGGAGTAAGTTAGACTCCAACTTCTATCAGCCCCAGCCAGCATGGCCAGTGGTCAAGGATGTTGGAAGTTGTAGTCCAGCAACATTCAGATGACCACAGATTCCCATTTCTGTCCTAGAAGGTTATTGACATTACTATTATTTATAACACTACACTTTGGAAAGCATGTATTTGTAGAAAAGGCCACTCCTTTTGGTTAAGGATATGCATTCCCCCACCTCAGCTTCTACTGATGTTCTTGAGATTGACAGATATCTTGGCTGTCGCTGGTTATTTAAATTGTTTTCTGGGTAAGTATACACATACTCATATTATTACTGGCATATGTTCTTTATTTGATCCACACTTCTCTCATTCTAGGTAACTTTAGCTAGTATAGATACAGAACTTCAGAAACTTAAAGAAATGACCAATCACCAGAAAAAACGAGCAACAGAAATGATGGCATCTCTTCTAAAAGATCTTGCAGAAATAGGAATTGCTGTGGGAAATAATGATGTGAAGGTAAGTTGAGCTATATTATATTCTCCTGAGATTTTTTTTTTAAAATGTTATATAGGTAAATTAAGCATGTGCTTCCTTGTCCTTGTATCTTCTGTACCATTCAAGCATTTAAAACAACCATGACAGTGTGTGTGCGCACGTGAGTGAGTGTTTGTTGTGGTATCTGGTGCTTACAATTACAGTATAAAGAATGGCTGTCATGGGCTCCTCTTCCCTAAAATGGTAGTAACCTTGATTAATTTGCAAGCAAATATTTGAAGCAGGGTATTTGGAAAAGATTGGGTGGGTGGGTTGCTTGCTTGCTTGCTTGCTTAGTTGTGGCAGCAGCCGTTTCTTTGAACCAGACTCCTCACAGGAACAGATTCCTGGAAGCATATAACTCGACTGCTGAGGGAGCTGCACTGGTTGCTGACTCTGCTTCAGGGTTCATGAACCCTTAAATAATTTGGCCCAAAGTACATTGAGGGTCATTAAAAACCTGATTGGGCACTTCTGGTGATTCTCCACACCCCATAGAGACTAAGCATTTAGTGTGTGGCAGGCCCTGCCCTGTGGAGCTCACTGCCTAGTTTGGCAAGAACTGCTCCTGCCTTTTCTGTTTATATAGACCTTCACAATATGCAAAAATAGTGCACATTTGTTGTGACGGGAGGTGTCATTTTGTCACAATCCTAGTTTAAAGCTGATCTTTATACAGGTAAGTCATCTGGCATGCACATAGATCTATTTGCTAAATAATATATTGAACTGTGAATGTGTCACATGATTTTCTACTATTAAAAATGTTTTGAACTAAAAACTTGTTCCTCCTCAGCAACCAGAAGGAACTGGCATGATAGATGAGGAATTCACAGTTGCAAGGCTCTACATCAGTAAAATGAAATCCGAAGTGAAAACTATGGTAAAACGGTGTAAGCAGTTAGAAAGTACACAGACAGAGAGCAATAAGAAAATGGAAGAAAATGAAAAAGAGCTAGCGGCCTGTCAGCTCCGTATCTCACAGGTAAATGAAATGGTTTGGCTCTGCCAGTTAATGTCATTTTTGCTTCTTGATTCCATTCTTAGCTATGTGTTTTATAAGTAAGTAAAAGTGCACTTCTTAATTTATAATCATCACAAGTGGAACCCACAACAAAATGTACTGTTGTGAAGTGCTGTTGTTCAAAAGTCCAGCTGCTCCATTCCATTCCCCCTTCCCTGTTCCCCTCCAGCAGTCAGTCCTCATGGAGCTATTTTTGAGGTTTTCCTAAACATTTTCTTGTACTTCTGCAAGCCCCAAATCTCCTGATACCTCCTTCTTGTGTGTGAGTTATCCCATTTTAGTTGCCGAAACAATGACTGTCACAGCCTGAACACTGGAAATAATAGGAATTGTTTTTTGCTTGACCAATAAGCATTAGAGTGAACTGGTTAATATAAGCAGTTCACTTTGCTTTCATATATTTTCCACATTGTGCATGACTAATTTGGGCTACAACATTTCAGCAGCTTTTCAGGATGAGTTTTGAAATGCACATCTAGTAACTGGATGCTTTTAGGTACAGTCATACCTTGGGTTGAAGTAGCTTCAAGTTAAGTATTTTCGGGTTGTGCTCCGCGGCGACCTGGAAGTAACGGAGCCGCGTGTGCAGACACTCAAAATGACGTCACACTCATGCGCGGAAGCGTCTTATGTTTACTTCAGGATGCGAACAGGGCTCCGGAACGGATCCCGTTCGTAGCCAGAGGTACCACTGTACTAGTTTTCCAAAGGTTTGCTGATATAGTGGGTCTCATGCTTAGTATACAAAGGCAAGAGCTATATCAGATGCAAACTACTTTCAATACCACTTGGCAACTTCAAAAGGCAGCTAGAAGTCAAATGTGTCAGTAACTGGCTTTCATATTTTGGGCAATGTATAGGATTTTGCTACCATGTCAGCCCACATCATGTAAAGAACATTTACTCTTGAAGTTTTTTAATATTGAAGCAAGCTAGTTGTACCTTAAATGTTAGTGGAGAAAGAGAAATTGATCAAACTTCATTATTTTGGAGAATTAAATGACTGCAGCTTGTGATATGCAGTTCCATATATAGTACTTCAGTATATGCTTCTACAGATATATATCCTAGTCTTGCAATGTAACTGAAGTTCACAAGCTGTTTAAGTTTATTTTCACATGTAGCTTCTATAATTTCAATTCTTGTTTTCACCCTGAAAGCATGAAGCCAAGATTAAGTCACTTACAGAGTACCTTCAGAATGTGGAACAGAAGAAAAGACAGCTTGAAGAGTCTGTGGATTCGCTTAATGATGAGCTAGTCGAACTTCGAGCACAAGGTATTAATTGCTTTACTATATGCTTAATGTTTAAGGAGCATGAACTGTGAACTGGTCTTCAGCAAGCTGTTTGTCTCACACCTCTGTAATATGAGGAAGATACTAAGAAATATGCTGTGTATGTAAGGATTAAATGTACCTGTGAAGTGTTTTGATCACTTACAAAAAGAGTTCTGTAAAAACGTTACATTGCTAAGTTATGCTTGAGAGCTTCCTAGAGGCATCAACTTGGCCATAATTGGAATTGGGATACCTGACAAGATAGGTCACTGGTCTGATCCTGTACAGTTGTTATGTTCTTCTGTAAGGTGCATAATATTTTAGGTGTGGCATGCTATGATCTTTCAACAGTCTGAGGTAGTGAATCCAGTAAATTTGTCTGTGTCCTCTAACTAAATGCTCTTTTCTTCACTAGAAAAAGTTCATGAAATGGAGAAGGAGCATCTAAACAAGGTTCAAACAGCAAATGAAGTCAAGGCAAGTAAACTTCAGATATGTTTTAACCAATAATTCAAAATTAGTTTCTTCAAAAATGCAATCACTTATGATGATGTAACATCAGAATATTTGGTTCTTTAGCAAGCTGTTGAGCAGCAGATTCAAAGTCACCGTGAGACTCATCAGAAGCAGATTAGCAGTCTCAGAGATGAGGTTGAGGCGAAGGAGAAACTAATTACTGAACTGCAAGAGTAAGTTTTGCAACTACTGCACGTGTCTTTGTGGGAGGGCAGAGAACAGCTTTTTCAAAAAAAAAAAAAACTTCTAACGGTGCAGTTCTTACTATGTGTATTCAGAAGTAAATTGAATTCAGATGGACTTTCTCTCAAATAAATGGGGTTAAGATTGCAGCCTAAGTCTTATAAATGTGTTATTCACTTTCATTTATTTACATAAAAATCCAGCCTTTGTTCAGGCATGCAGTGTACCTCAACAAGAATAGAAATATCCTTATTTTATGTAACTGTAAGCTTTGGTTCATGGCTCATTTTGCACCTTTCTTTCCTAATGAGATGGGAGCTTAATGTTAGTGCCAAAAATGTAAAATTCATTCCAGTATTGACATAGTGTTTTTAGAAAGGCTTTATTTTGAGGGTTTCTAAATTTGGCTATCAGTTCTAGAATTGTTTGTCAATTCTAATGGTACACTGTGGGTTCCAACAGAATTTTTAATCTGATCCCATCCCAGTCTAATGTGCATGTTTTGGCAACTAATAATATGTCAAAAGATTGAAGTGCTGGTTTTGTGGAAATCTCTCACATCATAATTACATTTTTTTTATTCTGTGTTAGTCAAAATCAGAAGATGATGCTTGAGCAGGAACGACTCAGAATTGAACATGATAAACTGAAAGCTACCGATCAAGATAAAAGCAGGAAACTGCATGAACTAACGTAAGTAAGAACAATAATGTGGACAATATGGTTGGTCAAATCAAACTTTGATGTGTGGACACAGTGTATTCATGCTGACATACTGTTTTGAGCAGAAAGGTTCCATAATTTACCTATGAATGAACATTAGCAACATTAATTTAGTTGTTCAAAATGCGTGTACAGGTTTTGTTTTAAAGTGCATTCTAGCAAACCAGAATAATGCAATATCTGTCTTTCAAAATCCCATTAGTCTTAGTATATAGACAGTTTATAGTATACATTTGCAACATTCTGTATTTAGAAGTTCCTTTTCATAGTTTCCCCCGTCCTGTGTAAAGATAGATGTAATATTGTTCTTGATGAGCTCAGCATTTTAATAAATTATATATAAAGAGTTGGAGGAAGGAAGTGAAAGAGGCACATCTAATATTTACTCTCCACTTCCATGTTTATAAAGTGACCAGGAAGGTTAATTCCATTTCAGCCGCTTTCACATGCTTTGCTCAGCATTTGAAGTTCCACACATCGTTCTTTCTCATTCTCCCAAAACTAAAATAAAAGTTCATTTCCCCAATAACCCTTCATCCTCCTGAGCCAACAGGTTAGTTGGCTTTTAAAAATGTACTCTTTGTTTGAAGCATAATTGGTCAGTTTTGAATCACATTACAGATAATTTTCATCTTACATGTATATCTTACTTACACAATCACAACTTTGCAAAGTTTGGGGGTGAAATAAATAAATAATTGGAGAGCTGAGGGAACACACTCTCCATTTATTTATTTATTTATTTATTTATTTATTCTCTCTCTCTCTCTCTCTCACACACACACACACTTGCGCAAAGCTGTGATTGTAGGTTTATCTGGCTCTTGGAAGGTGGCACAAGGGCTAGATCCCTCCCACCGCTTTCCAAAGATGTGCAAGCACTTCCTAGGCTTTGAGAAGGAGGCGATGTCTCTGGCAAGGCCCTTGTGCCTCTTTCCTGAAGCCAAGCAAGCAGCCCTCCATCGGGGGGGGGTGTGATTCAAGGGGTTCTGGGCTTTACATGATTTTGCATATACTCGTGTACCCCCAGAACTGAACCCTCACGTAAGATACAAGTTGCCTGTTTCATTGTGCATTGTCAGCACCACATGTTAAAATACAGTGGGTATACTCTGTTCCTCTTTTGGTTGTGGCCTCCAAATTATTGAGACTTACTTCATCCTAGCACTTCTGGGCTTCAGAATGTGGGCAGAGATTGTTTGTCCAATGAAAGTTTTATTTTATAGTTCTGTTTTTAAAAGTGGAAGCAGCTGTCTATGTGTGATGTTTCATCCTTCATAGATGATTTGAACTATTCTACTTTGGGCTAGATACTGGAAGAATCGTAGGTAATACATTTTTGTTCACTTTAGGGTTATGCAAGATAGGCGAGAACAAGCAAGACAAGACTTGAAAGGCTTAGAAGAGACTGTGGTAAGCTAAATATTCAGAAAGTATCTTTCAGATTCTTGAATTTATCACCTAAAAATGCTACAGTTTGCCATCTTTATGTTCCTAGGCAAAAGAACTTCAGACCCTGCACAATCTTAGGAAACTCTTCGTTCAAGATTTGGCTACCAGAGTTAAGAAGGTAATGCCCAGTTCTTCTTCATTTTAGAAACTATTGCTATTTTTTGTACTAATTCCATGGGGATCAAAACTCAGATTGCCTATCTTATTGCCATAGAGTGCAGAGATTGACTCAGATGACACAGGGGGCAGTGCTGCCCAGAAACAGAAGATTTCTTTTCTTGAGAATAATCTTGAACAGCTCACAAAAGTCCACAAACAGGTAAACCGAAATATATTTTTATATCTGATCTATTTCCATGGCTTTATAAAAGCTTATCCATGCTGTACATACTGAAGTTCTTTGGCTCACACGTTTTATCTCTTAAAGTTGCCACAAGTTGCCCTATTTAAGTAAACGTGCTACTGAGTAAAAATCAAGAACTCTTTGGCCAAATTTAACAACTTTGATTGCCATGCTTTCTTTCATATGACTTGCCAACATCCTACTACATCTAGTCATGCAGTAGAAAAGAAAAGAAGGCTAAAAGAGGTAAAGGTAAAGGACCCCCGACCATTAGGTCCAGTCGTGAATGACTCTGGGGTTTCGGCACTCATGTCGCTTTACTGGCCGAGGCAGCCGACATTTGTCTGCAGACAGTTTTTCCGGGTTATGTGGGCAGCATAACTAAGCCGCTTCTGGCAAAACCAGAGCAGCTCACTGAAATGCTGTTTACGTTCCCGTCAGAGCAGTACCTATTTATCTACTTGCACTTTGACATGCTTTTGAACTGCTAGGTTGGCTGGAGCTGGGACTGAGTAATGGGAGCTCACCCCATCACGGGGATTCGAACCACCGACCTTCCGATCGGCATGCCCTAGGCTCAGTGGTTTAGACCACAGCACCACTCGCGTGCCTAGAGAATCCCAAAGAAACATTGCAGCAATTAGTTGCACCCATGTCTCTCAATGAGGCTATTATTACCATGGAAAATTTAGGTATTGTTAGCTCTGAGGAAAGATTTTTTTTTATTCTGGATGCTTTACCTTGAATTCTTTGTTAGTTAAAGTGCTGTTCAAAGTAACTATGGAGTGAAAGGATTTGCAAAGGCTTTAATTCCCATAGTCCAGATTTAACATAGCTCTATATGAAACATATATTTCTACCCACAGCTGGTACGTGATAATGCAGATCTTCGCTGTGAGCTTCCGAAACTGGAGAAACGACTTAGAGCTACAGCTGAGCGAGTTAAAGCTTTGGAGTCAGCACTAAAGGAAGCCAAAGAGAATGCATCTCGTGATCGCAAGCGTTACCAACAGGAAGTAGATCGTATTAAGGAAGCTGTGAGGTCAAAGAACATGATCAGAAAGGCACATTCTGCGCAGATTGGTTAGTAGATAAAATGGGAGCATTAACAGTGCTAGTATGACATGAATTCAATTATTGATCCCTTGTTCTTAGGTCACTTAGTGCTACACCTGAATCTTAGAATGGTGGTAGATCACTTGCATATCCATAAATTCTATTGATTTGTCCATTGACCAGATTATCTGAAGTTGTTATTTGTATAGTCTGGAAATTAGGACATTAGTTGCTTGAAGTAGTACAATTTGGGATTTAGATACTTCTGGAGTGCAAGCACATGTTATAGTGAAACTTTCACAAGCTTAATATGTGCGGGTTGTTGATCCTGTTAGTATTGCATAGTATAATAAGTTTTGTTATAGCTATGTATATGCATATTCCACCTTTCAGAACAGAAATATTTCTACAGGTAAAATCAAAATACTTTAATCAAATCACTATGGAGCGGTATCAAAAAATAACAAATCAGGATGCTTACTACAGGACATAAAATTTGTAACTTGTATTCTTGCACAGTTATGGAATGGGTATGATAGTTTCAGAATTTCATCACAGTTGGGTGTTTGTTATAGGAGCAAGAAATATTTATAGATCTAGGGTGGAATTCAACATTATTATAAGCGTTCTATCCATGCGGGCCTGCAGCTTGCCAGCCAGGTTAATTCCTCCCCTCCTCCCCCAGTGCACTGTTTTGAAGGTTCTTCTGACCCCTCTGAGCCAATTGCAGGGGCACACAGTGGGAGGAGAGGGATGGGAAAGTCCCATTGAGCAAGCAGATAACCTTGCACAGGGCTTCTGCTGAAAGGGCACGTTAGGTGATTCCTGCCCCGATAACCCATTTTTTAAAGAAAACTTGCTTAGAAGGCAGCATAGTAAATATTAGTAACAATAAGAGTTGCAAAATCTTTGGCTCCTTAAAAGAGTTAACGCATTCATTGGCAAAAACTTACACTGATTTGAGTCTGCTTGGTCAGATGTATGAAATAACCACGATGCACAAAAGTTTGTACCATAATAACTTTTTTTTGGTCATTAAGTTACTACAAGACTAAGTTTGCAGCAAAAACAACAAACATGCATATTCCTTTGGAAATAAAATAACAATGAAGTATCAATAAACCAGCACAGCTGAATTGTTTAAAAACTTGACTTGGCTTTACCTTTAACATTTGCATTTGTTTCATGCAGCTAAACCTATTCGCCCTGGTCAGCATCCAGCAGCTTCTCCGACTCATCCAAGTGCAATTCGTGGGGGAGGTGCTTTTACTCAAAACAGCCAGCCAGTGGCCCTACGTGGAGGCGGAGCACGGCAGGAGAAGGCATGAATTTACATTATCAAGGTTAGCAGTTAACTTGTCTATTCCATTTAATATCCTGTCTTCAGTTTAAAATGTTTGGCATTTTCAAGGAAAATAGGGAATACAGTATTGGATAAGAGTCCAGGTCCATATGAGTATTTGTGATTAGGGGCAACTTCAGTTGAACAAGTACGCTGTGTGAAACTACCGTATTTTTTGCTCCATAAAACACACTTTTTTCCTCCTAAAAAGTAAGGGGAAATGTCTGTGTGTTTTATGGAGCCAATTTGTGGTCCCTGCAGCCGAATTGCCCAGAGGCGAAAAGCAGATTGTGCTTTTTCTTCTTTTTTGTTTTAGAAAGAGGGAAGGGGATGTTGAAGCAAAGCAGCTGAGCAGCTAGTGATAGGGAGGGAGATAAGGCTGTGGGAAAAGGAGGCTGCCGGGGGGGGGTAAAGACAGCAAACTTGCAAGGAGAGTAGACAGGAATGTTAAAACAAGCAATGAGAAGAGAAATTAGAAGAAAAGGAGGAGAAAAGAAGAAAAGGAGGAGCAAAAAACTGCTCTAAAAACTCTAAAATACTCTAAAAGTATTCCTCTCTTATCCTCCTCTAAAAACTAGGTGTGTCTTATGGTCAGGTGCGTCTTATGGAACAAAAAATACGGTGATTAGTTCAGAACCAAGTAGATTCCAGAATAGCTTACCATCTTCCACACATTGTCCCGCCCCACCCCCACCCCCAGCTGAGTTTGCCGTACCACAACTAAATAGTGTTTGCAGTTGCCTGTCTGACCAGGATGGCTTTTGGTAAGTTATAAGGAACGTTGAGGATAAGAGAGGAATACTTTTAATTCAGTATTACTGGGGTAAATCCAGTTCAGCTGCCTCCAAATTAAAGTACATAAACTGAGGAACAGGCTAAAGAAAGACCAGAATTCATGGGTTTTAAGGAAGACAGAGTTGAGATTGGAAGATTAATTGCAAAGAAACCAGGGGAGTAAGATGTAAAGGTAGTGATAAATAGAGTAAGGCGTTAATTAAAAATGATTGCTAAACAAGTTAGCATTTAGAAAAACATTGATACCTTAATTCTGTATTAGGTCTGGTAAAGCATCTTCTACTGAAATTGTGGCACAAACTTAAATGGTGACTAGTTTTCAGTGAGTAAATGTAGATGAAAATAATTGTGTAAATCTCACAATTTTTAGAGTAAAATAAAATTGTGAACATTTTGTTCACTTATTTTTCTATGTATGCATAAGTTTCTTTGGCTTTTTCTAGATGCTGAAAGCTACACAGCATGAAGAGGATTGGATATTGCGCAATGAGAGTCATTCCGTGACAGTGACGTCTATCTGTCTCTCCCTGGGGATTGTAGGATTATTTTTTTGAAAATTGTATAAACTTATACTGGTCTGTACAGCTCTCCTCATTCTACAAATTTGGCTAATTGACTCCAAACAAAACTAGGAAAAACTTTCTTCTTGGGAAATTGACGTGTAACTTAAAACGTAGCTCTTTTCATTACCTGATCTGTCTTTCACGTCTTAAATTTAGTCTGCACTGTGCCAAGTTGAATGTATGTTAAGCAACATCTTAGTTAAAATTTCCTAGCTTAATTTATGTATATTTAATGGTCTTAGGGATTGTGGAACAATGTTGAAGTAAAGTTTTAATTTTACCACTTTTAATAACACTACTTGACCCACTCTTGAATTAGAGCAGCACTGTACATTAAGTTTGCCTGGATGGCTGTATAGAGCATAAGACTAAAATTATGTGTACAGTTTGCAATTACTGAGGTGTGCTTATGACGACTGCCCTTAGGCACTGAAGTCTCTCAAAAAAACGTGGATTGAAAATTTTCCTTTTTTGACGAGGCTGCTTAACTGTTTGATTAAATCTGTTATCAGGTTAATGAGTTAATACTGTATAACAAGTAGTAAATGTAAGTTTACATGGAAAGACTTTGGCAATGACTTTTCATCTGTCCTGTTCCTGATTATACCCAGAATAGTGTGATGAGGTGAAAACATTCTGCTTCATCTTGATAAGCCTGTTAATTGGTCACCATAACTGGATAAATTTGGTTAACTTTTCCAGTGAGAAATCGGGGCACTGTAGAACCCCTTGTATTATCAGTGCATCATATTTCATTCAAACCACAAATTTGACTTTAAGAGAATGAATTGATTGAATAAGTGGAACCAAGTGAATAAAGGGGGGAAAGAAAGTGCATAAAATGGCCAGAAATGTAGGATGGATATGGAAATTGTGCTACACTGAAACTGTACTGTAACTTATTTGTAAATCTAGAGTTCTGTAAATGTGTTTTTCTCTAACAATCCTGTTGGACATCATTATCATCATCATTATTTTTGCAAAGTTTTGAGACCAAGTTTAAAGTTTTGCCCCGCAAAAAGCACTTGAAACGACATGCCACAAAATTCAAAGAACACCTTTGACAGGGAAGTTACTGTTCGATATTGCCCAAAGGCTTTGAAAGGTTTTCTCATTACAGTCACTTGACTGGTAGGAAGTGAAAGAAAATGCTTTCCAAAAGTTGAGAGATTTTGAATAACTGCTTTTCCAGAGTAAGTTGATGCCAGTTTTATATTATACTGAAGTACATTCACAGGCACTTGCCGGGGGGTGGGGGTAGGTTTTCTGTAGAACTTTATGACTATCTTTTGTACAAATTGAAATATTTGTATTAAGACGGAGCCTAGTAATAGAAAAAATTGACTGACAACCCCCCCCCCATACCTTAAGTTCTGATTAGTGTCTTTTTTAATACATTTATTTTAGAGACGGGGGTTTTCTTTTTCTTTTTTTAATCAGCCAGACCCTTGTTAGTTTGGAATTGTCATAAGATAAACCTCTTTCTTTTGTGCTTGAATTAAACACTCCAAACTGAAAAGATGAAATAAGAGGGGACTTGTATAAAGGGAAAATGGTGGAGAAGGAATCTCTGTTAAGTGCTTGAAGTTGTGTTTTCAGTTGCATTGGCCTATGTCAGTTTCTCAACTATAGCCGTACAATTTCAGTCTGGATTCAGTTTACACAGTTCAATCTGGTTTCCTGGCAGTTACTCAAATGAAGCAGGATATTTTCTCATGGCTGTTTACGTTAGTTTCATTCCTGTAAGTAATGTATCACGGGTTTTGGTGCTGACATGGCTGTGTAATTAAACAGTTAAATAAACTGTAACTAGCATGTAGCTCAACATGTACATCCTTTTCATACCTAAGCTTTTTTATTTTAACCTTTTATGAAGTTTACCAAGAACTGCAACTTAAACTTTCAAAAGGACTCCTATGTTCTTTGGCTCTCCTATGGTAGGTTGCATGGACAGGACAATTTTTTGGTTTTGTAAATTTAGAATCTTCAATCTGCAATAGAATTTTAAATGCGTTACTGTTCCAATTTACAGTTCTTGAATTTTTATTCCTCCAGGCTATTTTTTAAAAAATGGCTTAGGACAGGAATTGAATGACATGAAAGAAGACTATTTATTCATGGAGATAAACTAAATTATTTGCATAACATTACTGATTAACTACTTTAAATTAGACCTGAAATGACAAGAGTCTGCCTGTGGCAAGGATCTGCCACTGAATAAACAGTTATGTATTCTCAATGCATGAGAATGCATTTAAGAATAACTGGTTTGGAGAAGATGCCATATAGTTTTAACTACCTGCATGCTGTAAATGTTTTTGTGTTTAAATAAAGAAAATCTTTGAATTTTAGTGAACTTCATTGAGACCTATATAACCTTTTAAGGTCGTAGCCATTGGATGACATTGTTTTTTCTACCTATGTATCTCCATATATTGTACTGAGGTGCTATACTGAGCATGAGCATTTTGGAAGGGGGCTTCATCAGTCAGCTCACAATTTTCCCATTAAAGGCCAGTTTATACACTGTGGATTTTTCCCCATAGGAAGAAGGACTCAACCTTAGATGTCTGTGTATACCATTTCAACATGGATACACCCCACCCTTGCAAGTTGCCTGGATGATAATGTATTGCATGGGTACTTCATATTGATACATGTATTCTGTTGTGTATGCAGGGATGTCATCCTGAAACTCAGTCCTTGTCCCTTCCATGTGCATGCCCAGATCATGCGTGAACCAGCTGGGGAAGTGAAGTCCTACATTCTTAATCTCATTTTGCCAGTGTAATAATTGCATTTAAATATCCTTTATTTTTATAATTAAAAAGTCAGCCTCAGGCCTGATTAAGACCTTACATGAGTCAGCCTAGATAGCTTTGTCAGAATAGCTTGAAGGGGAGTAATGTAGATTGCTGTAGAAGCAGCGTGCTTTTGGCTGGCTCTGGTGTCCTACTTTTTTACTTTGGAAAGCTGACTTCCACACCAAAAAAAGACTCATGCTTTGTTTGCTAGTCAACCTGTACATTTTAGTGTGTACCCTTCTTCCAACTGTATCCAAATATGTTTAAACTTCATTTCCAGATATTGTGGTAGAACTAATGGCTTACGTCTTAACCAATTGGCTTGGTGAACAGAAATGAATTCATCTAAAAATATTCGCCACTAGGAGGTGCAACAATCACTTCTATTAACAATCTGGAAGTCTTTGAGCTATTGACTGAAAAGCAGGAAGGTGAGGAATGGCAGCATAAATGTTGCTTTCCACTTCAGTGTGAAGAGAAACCAGCCTGAAAACATGCATTTTATAAAGTGCAAATGGTCAGAGATTAGATGCTTCAGGAATCTTTTGGTGTCTTACTCATTTGTGCATCACAAGGACATGTCTGCAATTGTTCTTTGCTCCTTGCAAAGTAAGGTGGGAGGTGATTTTTTGCAATAACGAATGGGATGTTTATCAGATTTGGAGTAGGAGCAGCCAGGTGATAATTTTTGCAGTGGCCGTTGGACTCTGATTTCATTGCCAAGTAGAATAATTACCGTATTTATCCGTGTATAAGACGAGGTTTTTTGCTTTAAAAATTAGTTTAAAATTGGGGGTCGTCTTGTATATGGAACATGGGCATCTGGGGGAATTTTTAAAATATTTAAGCATATGTCCGGGAGTTTGGCTTGGGCGGGCTGAGGCGATCCCTCCTGCTGCAATCCCCCCTTTCTCTCCCCCCCCCCAACTTCTGGGCTGCATGCTGACGACTGGCTCTCCTGAAGCCCCCACTGGCTTGACCACTGGATTGAGAGCAGCTGCCGCCGCTGAGTGTATACCTCAGTGTACCTCTCCTTGCCCTTCTTTTTTTCCTCTTCCCCCTCAAACTCCCACCCTGCCCCCAGCCCGCTCACCACCTTCCTCAGCTCAGTTTGCTTGACAGCATGGCCGGACGCAGAGCGGCCGCTGCCTTCCCCCTGGTCTTCCTGGGGAGCCTGCTTGGGAGCCTGCTTCCCCACAGCAGGAGCTGCCACCGAGGGGGAGCGTGTGGTGCCCCAGTCGCTGCCTTTGCTTCTGCACCACCATGCACTGCATGCCCCTCATGCTGGAAACTTTTGGGGGCAATCGCCCCCAAAAAGAGCAACAGCTTGCCGCCGCCAATCCAGATTTTCACTTCTATTTTAGGGTTTCATTTTCTTAATTTTGGGTTCAAAAAAATAGGGGTCGTCTTATACCTGGGGGCATCTTGTACATGGAAATAGACGGTAAATCTTGTTTCACTGTGATTAAAAAGTGTAGTTTTGCTAACAGTTTGGATTTCCGAAGCAATTTGGACTTTTAAAAAATGCAGATAATGGGTCCACAAAAAGCTGAAGTATTTCCCCTCCAAGGTTGCCAAAAGAAGAAAATGCTGGGGAGACGGAGAATTGTTTTGTAACCGACAAGTCTGGCTTCTAATTGGAGGGAATTATATCACCAGGGCTATTCAATCACAGCACCCCAGCTCTGCTTCCTTTTGTACTTTGCATGCTGATTGCAGCATCTGGGCTTGACGAGGCAGATGACCCTCACCTGTTCCAAGCCTCCTCCAGCTGAGGAATCACACACCACCTCCCACAGCTAGCAAGCTCCACCTAGTCAGCTAGAGAGATGGGATGTGGGCCCTTGCCTGCCTCAGCCTCCTGGAGCATCACTTCCGCTGCTCCCTAGGCCTCAGAGCCTGCTGTGTTTGTGGATAGAGGGGGCCCCTCTGACTGCTGATGGGGTCTGCTGCTCTGGTTCCTGTGCATTTACCCTCATCCTCTGTCACCCTGTGAGTACTTCCTTCCCCATCCCCCGCTTTGCCCAGTCTGTCCCAGTCCTGTTTACACCCCCCGCTAGGATCTTCCTCCTCCCTGTTGACCTGCCAGTTCATGAGTGACTTACCATATTTTTCCGTGTATAAGACAATGGTTTTTGTTACAAAAAAATAGGCAAAAATTGGGTGTCATCTTATATACAGATAGTGAATGCAGGGGAGGGGACATGCGATTAATGGCAGCAGCAAGCAGGAGATTGGCAGCGGCGATTGAGCGGGTGATTAGTGGCTGTGGCAAGTGGGTGGGAGGGCTGTTGCTGGCGGTGGGCGGGCAGACAATTGGCTGCGGCGGGGTGTGCGATCGGCAGTGGCTGTGGCAAGCGATCGGCAGTAGCGGGCAGGCGGGTGAGTGATTGCCAGAAGTGACCTCTCCCCCCCCAAAAAAAACCCCTAAACTTAATTTATTAATTTTGGGTTTAAAAATATAGGGAACGTCTTATACATGGGGGCGACTTATACACAGAAAAATACGGTAGGTAAAATCAATAACAAAAGGCAAGTCCCTACCCAGAGTTTTATAGTCTAGAACACACCACACAAAAGGAAATTGGGATGAGAAGGGAAAATAAAAACGAGCGAACTCAGGCAGCCATTCTTGAAGTTATGTACAGTGGTACCTCGGGTTAAGTACTTAATTCGTTCCGGAGGTCCGTTCTTAACCTGAAACTGTTCTTAACCTGAAGCACCACTTTAGCTAATGGGGCCTCCTGCTGCTGCCGCCCTGCCAGAGCATGATTTCTGTTCTCATCCTGAAGCAAAGTTCTTAACCTGAAGCACTATTTCTGGGTTAGCGGAGTCTGTAACCTGAAGCGTATGTAACCTGTATTTCTTATATTGACCAGTTCGAATTGAGACAGTTGAAGGAGTGTAGGAGCCCAACAGAGTTCGTCTTTTAGCAGAGCTAATAAAATTTCCTTAAGATCCGTATTGCACATGTTAGCCAAAGTGCCTCAAGAGGCATCTGGCATGTTTTATTGATTATAATAACTTATCTGGAAGCAGGTCTTTGTAACCATAGAAACAGAATTTTCTTTAATGCTGGCAGCATCTTTGGGGAAGTAGTCAAAGAAGGAGCAAGCTGATTAAATTATTTAAGAACTAAAAAGCATTTCTTTCGTGGCCGCCTCTCTTCTAATTGGAGACGGTAAATAATGGATGGGAACAAAACACTGAGCCTTGCAAACTGCTAAACTTTCTCCAAAAGACCTTGAAAGTCCCTCAGTTGTGCTAGATCTTTAGAATACTATCTCTAGGCTACAGCTAATGCCTGTAGTCAAGGTGAGCAGAGGTGTCCAGTTCCCTTCCCTTTTGGGATACGGCTGCAGTACCCATAATAATAGCGTGGCAGATCAGAAAAAAAGCAGCTGAGGCTTTTCCTGGCATGCTAATGCTATGACAGGGAAAAGTTTGAGATGCTCAGTTCTCTCCAACCGCTTAAGAGTTTTTATTACAAGCATTCTATAGATTTTATTAGATCAATAAGTTTGAGGTGCTCTTGCTGTGCTGGCCAAATGTGGCTGTGGGGAAAATTAGTTGCTGCAGCAGTTTAAATTCTAATCATGTCAAGTATGCGATAGCTGAATCTGCTGTCCTTTGGAAGGAACCCTACAACCTCTGCTCTAAGAAGCCACTGCAGCATCAGGGGTGGAATTGCAGGCCCAAACACCTTGCTTTAAGACACCTTGCTGGTGTTAAATCTAATGAACACAATGCCTTCCTTCCACGCCTGCTGTGGTGTGTAACTTAATACTCTGGGTTGTATCTAATGCAAGCATCCTTTTAGTGCAATGACTTTGGCCTGCAGAATGGGATGTCTTCTTCCTCTCCATGTGACTTCCCATATGCTCTGGAGGAATGAAGGAACCCTTGAGCAGATTTGCGGGGAGGCAGACACTTGGGGACAGGAGACCAAGTCCCATTGTGCAAGCAGAATATGTTGCTCTAATGGGGCGACTCGGTTGGATATCTCCCTCTGATTCTGCCAACAGCTGACTTTGCTTCTACTGTGGGTCTCATTCAGAGACGGATGCCAAAATTGAGCAAAAATGTGTGTCAATTAAGTAGCAGCTGTTCTGCTTGCTTCATATTGGAAATTGGCACTTGTGACCAAAAGGAAGCATAGCACAACTTGCAGGGCAGTGCTGTCTAATATTTTATTCATTTAGTATTCTTGTATCCCAGTCTTAATTAAAATGCAGTGGGCCTGCCATTTATACAGAGGTTCTGTTATGTTGGGGGGGGGTGTTCCTTTGCAAATGCAAAATTGTTCAAAGTCAGGAACCCCAAAACTGTCCCCACCCCACCCCAGGCTACTTACCTTCCCAGACCCCCAGTAAGCAAGGCAGTGCCTTCCTTACCGGCTTCTGGGACACTCACAGAGCCCTTGCACCTCCTTCCTAGAAGCTGGTAAGGAAGGCGCCACTGGGCTTTTGGGACGGTGGTGCATGGGGTCTGGGACGCTGCCAGATGAAGTGATTAGAACATTGAATTCCACCCCAAGTATGTCAGTGCATATTGATGTCTTAGGAAAATGTACAG